CCTTCCAATTTGGATACCTTTTATTTATTTTTCTTGTCTGATTGCTATGGCTTGGACTTCTGATACTATGTTGAACAGAACTGGTGAGAATGGGCATCCTTGCCTTCTTTAAGATTTTAGCTGGAAGGCTTTCAGTTTTTCATTGTTGAGTATTATATTAACTATGGGTTTGTCATACATGGCTTTTATTATGTTGAGGTATAATCCCTCCATACCCACTTTGGTGAAAGTTTTTATCATGAATTTTATTAAATGCTTTTTCTGCATCTATCAAGATGATCAGTGGTTGTTGTCCTTTCTTTTATTTATGTGGCATATCACATTGATTGATTTGTATTTGTTGAACCATTCTTGCAACCCTGGAATGAATCTAACTTGATCACGACATATGATCCTTTTTATGTATTGTTGCTTCAGTTTACTAATATTTTGTGAGGACTTTTGCATCCATATTCATCAAAGATATTGGCCTGTACTTTTCTTTTTTTTGTAATATCTTTGCCTGATTTTGATATCAGGATGTTGGTGGCTTCCTAGAATGACTTTGGGAGAGTTCCCTCCTCTTCAGTCTTTTAGAATACTTTGAGAAGGATTGGTATAAGTTCTTTATATATTTGGTAAAGTTCCCCAGTGAAGCCACCCAGACCTGGACTTTTGTTTACAGGGAGTCTTTTTAAAAATTACAGATTGTATTTCACTTCTAGTGATCATTCTGTTCAAATTTTCTCTTTCTTCTTGACTCAGTTTTGGCAGGTTGTCCATTTTTAAAAACTTGTTCATTTCTTCTAGGCTGTCCAATTTGTTGACATAAGTGTTCATAGTATTTTCTTATGATATTTTGTATTTCTCTGGTATCAGTTGTTATTTCTCCTTTTTCTTTTTCTTTTCTTTTATTTTATTTGGCTCCTCTCTCTTCTTCTTGGTGAGCCTGGCTAGAGGTATGTCAATTTTGTTTATCTTTTCAGAAAAACAGTTCTTGGCTTTATTGATCTTTCTATTGTTCTTTATCTCTATTTTATTTATTTCCTCTCTGATATGTGTTATTTCCTTCCTTCTGCTGACTTTGGGTTTTATTTGTTCCTCTTTTTCTAATTCTTTTAGGTGGTAGGTTAGGTTGTTTACTTGAGATTTTCTTCTTTCTTGAGAAAGGCCTGTATTGCTGTGAACTTCCCTTTTAGAACTGCTTTTGCTGTGTCCCATAGATTTTGTAAGGTTGTCTTTTCATTGTCATTTGTCTCCAGGTATTTTCTGATTTTCTCTTTCATTTCATTCTGACCCATTGGTTTTTAGTATCATGTTGTTTAGTCTCCATGTAATCATTTTTTTTTCTCATTTTTTTCCTGTGGTTGATTTCTAGTTACATATGGTTGTGGTCAGAAAAGATGTTTGAAATAATTTCTATCCCTTACATTTCTTGAGGCTTGTTTTGTGTCCTACTATGTGGCCTATCCTTGAGAATGTTCCATGTGCACTTAAAAAAGAGTGTGTATTATGGTTTTTTTGTATGTAACGTCCTATAGACATCAATTAAGTTCAACTGTTCTATTGTGTCATTTAGGGTCTCCTTTGCCTTATTGCTTTTTATGTCTGGAAGATCTGTCCAGTGATGTCAGTGGGGTATTAAAGACTCCTACTATTATTTTATTCCCATCAATTTCTCTCTTTATGTCTGTAGTGTTTGTTTTATGTATTTAGATTCTCCTAAGTATATTGGGTGCATACATGTTAACAAGTGTAATATCCTCTTCTTGTATTGATCCTTTTATCATTATATAGTGTCCTTTGTCTTTCATTATGAACTTTGTTTTAAAGTCTATTTTGTCTGATATGAGTATTGCTACCCATACTTTCTTGTCATTTTCATTTGCATGTGCCATTTATCTTGTGGTTTAAGCCTTCTTTTCCTCCCCTTCCCATTGTTTGGTTAGGTGATATTTTTAAAAATTACCTTTTCTTGAACTGCATAGTTTGACTTGGGTTTATGTTGTTACATCAAATATTCCTAGTGTAGGGCTTCCCTGGTGGTGCAGTGGTTGAGAGTATGCCTGCTGATGCAGGGGACATGGGTTCGTGCCCCGGTCCGGGAAGATCCCACATGCTGTGGAGCAGCTAGGCTCGTGAGCCATGGCTGCTGAGCCTGCACGTGTGGAGCCTGTGCTCCACAACGGGAGAGGCCACAACAGCAAGAGGCCCGCGTACCGCCAAATATATATATATATTCCTAGTGTAATATAGACAACTAGTCATGATTGGAGGATGAATTCATGAATGATATAATGAGTAGTTATTTAATATTTCCACCTGTGTCATGGTGATACAGTTTAGTATTGTTTGTGTTTTATCCTTTCAAAGGCCATTTATTTTTATCAGAGGGAATCTGCAGATTAAATTATTTATTTAATAAGAATAAAATGGAATGTAAAAACTAGGGCAGAGAAATAGAGATAGTATTTTGAAAATGATGGACTTTGTGCCAGGTAGAGTATAGTTGAGAATGTAGAAATTCCTCAGGATAATTAGTGACAAATATCCTTAAATACTTGTTGAAAATGGGATTATGGCTTTTAGAATTTCTTCCATGACAACAGAAATGAAATAATAATGGATATGAGGAAATAGTGTATGTACTGCCAAGATTTAGCAGCTAGTTTAAAAGTAAAACTTGAGGTAATTGAAGTTTGCAGTGTTTATGATTGAGATGGAAATAAGATAACTGCAGGGTGGCTAAGCCACCATCTCCTCAGATCTTGTAGAATATGAAAACAATTTCTCAGAGACATTTGAAAATGGAAAATCTAAATGACACACTTAGAGGTCCATTTGTCCTTTCAACTGGAACCCAAAGTCTCCTAGTTTCTGGAGGTTTGTGATGAGGTAAACTGTCTTCAAAATAGCCTAAGTGTGAGAATTTCCTGTTCAAACCTAAAGTGACACATTGATGAGAAATCAACTTTTTCCACTTTTGTTTCACTCTGAGCCTTCACAGGGCAGTCTGTGGAGGTCACATACATTGTTTATTCTTGTCCTAGATTTATGTTTTTAAATTTCTTCTTTTATTACCCAGCTATAGCAGGCCTCTTTTATGAGTGTAACCTGACCTCCCCACTAAAGGATGCACAACTTTCTGGCCAACAGAAGGTATGTGTCCCTCCTCTCCTGTCTCTCTACTAGACCACCTCACTTAGTGGGAAATAACAAATGTTAAATGTAATGCAAGTGAGGTACAATTAATATACAACAAAATCAAAGTAGAACATTGGTGTTTTATAAAAATAATTCATAAAACATGAAATATGTTGGAAGATTTTTTAAAAATAAAAGATTTTTTAAAAATAATTCATAAAACATGAAATATGTTGGAAGATTTCTCAAAGTATTCAATTTATTGTCTGTAGGAAGTTAGTCAATTGCATATGCACTTGAATATTTGGGTTTGTAAATCAATATAATATTAAGTGAAACCCACAGACATCATAACAGGGAACAATTAGTTTGGGATTTTATAATCAGCAGAAGGTGGGTTTTTTGTATAATAATATGTTAATATATATTTTGCTCAACCTTTATAAATAGATTCTTGGAAAGGAATTCATTGCATAACAAAAGCCAAACATAATTCCTCATACGTGTACTTAGACTCAATAAAAGCAGCCTGATTTTATAACAAAAATTATAACAAAAATCAGGATGAGGTAGCTTCCTAAATGCTAATTTAAACTTAATTGTAAGTAATGAAAGAATTTTTTAAAAAATTGAACAAACACTGCAAAAAAGATGTACCATGCTAATTAAAGACACTCCTGCTTAATAAATTACTCAACAGGGTCTAACTGATATGAATTAGAAATAGTAACATAGAAATTGTGACTAAAATAATAATTAAAACTGATACTTGTTGAGAACTTATAAGTGTCAGGTTGAGTGCTCAGTGTTACATGCATTGTATATTACCTATTCTTATTTCCATTTTAGATTAGTAAGATAGATTACTAGATACTAAATAATTTTTAACAGTCACACTCTTGTAAGTTTCAAAGCCATAATTTATTTCCAGGTCTTTCTGACTACAGTATCCATTGACTGAATTATTAAGTTATGTTATCTGGACTTTTTATAAGTAATTTTTGTAAGTAATTACCATCACTAATACAACTAAAATGACCTTTACTAACTTTGACACCTATAGGATCTTTCTGGAAGTTTGAACTATCAGTGTTCTTCCATAAATTACTTATATTTGTTTATTATTTTGTGGGTTCATATCTTAGCCATTAAGTCAATTATCGATTACTTTTACAAACTAAGTATTTTTTAGTCTTTTTCTGTTGTTTTATTTGCAATATTATCTAGGTTATATATAAGTTTAGTGTATCATGTAACATTTTCCAATACATGAAGTATTTCCTCAATTTTTAATGTCTTCTCAGAACTCCTCAGCCATTCAAAATAACGACCATTTGGTAACACTTTTAATAAGTAAATGTAAGTCACCAAATAATGTAATTTAGTGTAGGAAATTGTTGTACATGCCGACATTACTCTTTCCCCATCT